GTCTTTTAAACGGAGCTTTTAGGATTTTCACTCCTAGCTATGAAAGTAATTGGCAACAAACACTCTTAAGATGCCTGAAAAACCATCAGTTTTTTAATGTTAACTTACTATTTTGTAAAAAGCGACAAAGAGTCCTCTGGCACCTTATAGACTAACAGACATACTGGAGCATAAGCTTTCGTGGGTGAATACTCACTTCGTCAGACGTGACGAAGTGGGTATTCACCCACGAAAGCTTATGCTCCAATACGTCTGTTAGTCTATAAGGTGCCACAGGACTCTTAGTCTGGATCTGTAAAAAGTGACAAACACGGCTACCCCTCTGATACTTTACTATTTTGTGTTCATTATGGGCACACTCCAAGCCATTTGAAGTCAGTGGAAAGATTCCCATTGATTTAAATAGCTTTTGGATCAGGCTCTATATACAGAGATTCATTCTTATTTTTTGTAAACTTACTAATGAATTAGCTAAATCTTTTTTAAAAGTAGAAAGTATCAAGTGGAAACAATATTGAAAATGTCATTGAACAATAACTCTCAATATGTTTCAGCAATATACATCATTCTGTTTTTATGTTTTGTAAACTTCTTGTAGAAATTCATAATATGGAGTGTAATGGTAGTAAATAAGTGAATATACTTGAAATATCTTGGTATTCAGCTTGAGATAAAAACAGATTTGTAAAAGAAATCTGCTTGTTTTCAGGGGTGCTGGAAAAATTTGTGTAGTGGGGCTGCTGAGAGGCATTGAACCAAACTGTAAAGCCTGTACACAATGGAAACCACTTCATCCAACACCTATGCTTGTTTTTTTTAGAAAATAAGACAAATCAAGAAGGAAACCAACTACTGTACACACACACGCTTGTAATTTCCTAGTAGCTGTATCTAAGAAAGTTTGTGTTAGTTGGTCTGTGTAGTGAATGGGAATGCATTTAAGCTGTTGGTGGACAGGATGTGCAAACCTGGGGCAGAGGTCTTGAAGACCCCTGCTTCATTCATAGATTCCAAGGCCAGAAGGGACTATTGTGATCATCTGGTCTGACCTTCTGTCCAGCACAGGCCAAAGAACTCCCCCAGAATAGTTCCTAGAGCAGATCTTTTAGAAAAATATCCAATCTTGATTTTACAGGTTGTCAGCATGGTCGAATCCACCACAACCTTTGGTAAATTGTTCCAGGAGTTAATAAGACACACTGTTAAAATTTATACCTTTATTTCCAGTTTGAATTTGTCTAGCTTCAGTATCCAGCCAATGGATCATATTATACTTTTCTCTGCTAGATTAAAGAGCCCATTATTAAATATTTCCTCCCAGTGTAGGTACTTCTAGACTAATCAAGCTCCTCCCCCCCCCTTAAGCTTTTCTTTGTTAAACTAAATAGATTGACCTCCGTGAGTCTATCACTATAAGGCAGGTTTTCTAATCCTTTAATCATTCTCATGGCTTTTCTCTGAAACTTCTCCAGTTTTTCAACATCCTTCTTGAAGTGTGGAAATCAGAACTGGACACAGTGTTCCAGCAGCCGTTGTACCAGTGCCAAATACAGAGGTACAATAACCTCTGTGCTCCTACTTGAGATTCTCCTGTTGCCCTTTTGTCCACAGTGTACCACTGGACACTCTTGTTATCCACTATGACCCCCAAATCTTTTTCAGAGTCACGGCTTCCCAGGACAGTCCCCCATCTTGTAAGCCAAGCCTACGCATTCTTTGTTCCTAAATGCGTATATTAACATTTAGCTGTATTAAAACACACATTGCTTGCTTGTGCTCAGCTTGCCATGTGATCCAGATCGCTCTGTATCAGTGACCTGCCCTCTTCATTACTTACCTTTCCCCTAATTTTTGTAGTGATGATCTTGTTTTGTTTACAGCAACATTTTGAGATCTATCAGTTAGCCAGCTTTTAATCCATTTAATGTGTGCCATGTTAATTTATATCATTTTAGTTTTTAATCAAAATGTCAGTTACATCATGACTATTACCTTTATCAGCCAAACTTTAATCTCATCAAAAAAAGTTATCAAGTTATTCTGACGATCAATTTTTCATAAAACCCATATTGATTGGCATTAGTTATAGTACCATCCTTTAATTCTTTATTAATTGAGTTCCGTATCAGTCTCTCCAGTATCTGGCTGGGGGTCGATGTCAGACGGACAGGCATATAATTACCCAGATCATCCCATTTACCCTTTTAAAATATTGGCACAATATTAGCTTTCTTCCAGTCTTCTGTAATTTCCCCTATGCTCCATGTTACCTGGACCTGCTGAATTAAAAATGTCTAACTTTAACTTTAGCAGCTGCTGTTTACCATCTTCCTGAGATACCAGTATAATGGAAAGCCTGTTATCATATGATATGACTATATCATCTGTTTCCCCCTGCATTCTCCCCCCCCCCCCAATACAGAACAGGGATATTTATTATGAGGGGAGGGATAGCTCAGTGGTTTGAGCATTGGCCTGCTAAACCCAGGATTGTGAGTTCAATCCTTGAGGGGACCATTTAGGGAACTGGGGTAAAAATCTATCTGGGGATTGGTCCTGCTTTGAGCAGGGGGTTGGACTAGATGACCTCCTGAGATCCCATCCAACCCTGATATTCTATGATTCTATGATTGAATACTTCTACCTGTTCTGCATTGTCATTGATAATTCTAGCATCTAGTAGTGGACCAATACCATAATTAGGACTGTTTTTGTTCCTAATATGCTTAATAAGAAAGTGGTTTTGTCCTTAACTCTGCTGGCTATAAATTTCTCCTTGTATCCCTTTTGCTTTCCTGATCAATTTTCTACAATTCTTAGCTTTTTGATTTATAGTCATTACTATCAACTTATATTTTCTTTCATTTGTTATGTTTAAATATATTTATTTTTTTATAATTGCCTTCACCTCCGCTCTAAACCAGGTAATTTCTTTAACCAATACCGCCTTTTCTTAATTGCAGCTTGTGGGGCATCTAGTTAAGGGTTCTTAAACAGTTCCCAATTATCATTCATATTTTTCTGATTAAATTCTTCCTCGCAACTGATTTGACCCATAATTGTTTTCAACTTTGTGAAATCGGCCCTTTTAAAACATCAAGTATATAAATCACTGGTCTGGACTTTGTTGTGTTTGCACATTATAAATGGGATCAAGTCATGATCACTTGTACCTAAACTACTGTTAATTTTTAGTTCTGTGATGAGTTCCTCTTTATCGGTTAAGATGAAGTCTAATACAGAATTCCCTTGTGTTGGATGCAACACTTTTTAGTTAGGAAATTGTGATTTATAACATTTAGAAATTCCAAAGATGTTCCCCAGGAATATGAAGTTTGGACAGTGTGCAGCTAATGAGACTGTGGTCAGCTGTTCGGCTGCGTGTGTGTGTTCTCTGTGCATGCTGTACTGACTCTGGCAAGATAGCCCGTACAGCAGGCTCCAATTGAACTGCCCAATAAATCCACAGACTCGGTTTTCTGCGAAGGAACTTGGTCAGGTTTATTGCTGACAAAGCACAGTGCTAATGCCCCGGCTCAATGGTTACAGATACACTAACACATGTATGCTCGTGACAATGGGCCAGCTCAGTGAATGGCGGGACTTTCCATTCTCCCCTCAGCCAGACAAAGACACTCCATCTGAGATACATCTTTATACACAGATACAAACAAATTATGTATTACCCCATTTGTATCTAGGTGCCACCCTCTGACGTATTTGGGTGCCACCCATTACCTTGTACATGTTGGTTCGATCAAAATATCTCTATATGTTATGCTGTCATCCTGACCTTATCTTTAAGCAGGGTCAGTGTGTTCCTGTTATCTTTGGGGAATGTGTTTGGTATCGAGGTGTTTTGGTACTGTCTTTCTGGAATGTGTTTACTTATATATTCTTATGCCTAGCACTACGTAGGAAATAGAGTTTCTGCAATATCAGCCCTGTTCTTGCCAGATTCTGTGAGCAGGGCCTGCCTCTTGCTCACAACTTAACTTTGCTTTATATTAGCAAGTTATGACCATTACTTTAGCTCAGGCCTCTGATACAAGGGCTTATGTTTCAGGCTCTCTTCCTGCTACAGAGACAACCAGCAACTATTGAATAGTGAGGATAAAAATGTTTAAAACCTGTCTCATTCACTGTGCATTATATTACATGCACACAGAATGAAGCAGAGAAGGCACATGAAAAAAACAAAGTATGTGCTCATGTAATTGCAGACTGTACTGTAATATATGTGCATGAAGGGGCAGAGTTAATGTCTTTCAAACAACCTTAACTTTGCTTTGCAACCTCTTTATGATACTCTTTGTATGGGTGTATGTATGTACTTAAGCAATCTTAATTCATTCTTAATTATTTTATATAGGAATATATAACTACAGTAATGAACTGATCAGTGTTTATGTGTACCATTGTTTGCTCCTTGTACTATTTTACCATTCTAGACTTTGCAAAACTTGATACTTGCCCACCATATTATTACACATAAAGCAATAGCATCTGTTCCCACCTCAAATACTGGAGCAAAAAGATGTAGCATGCCTTGGAAGTTAATAAGTCTGGGCTCTGGTGGACTAGCAGTGATTATCATCTGTAGTCACTGTGTGTCGTTCATCCTGTCTTGTATTATCCTGTTTGGGGTTTTGTGGGTGTTTTCTTTTTGTTTATGTCACAGTGATTATTATTTTTGATGGGGGAGAGGGGTGTATGCTTGGGATTGGTGATTTCCTATTTTTTATAATCCAGTAACATATAGTCCTATATGTCGATACAGTGGCAAGTCCTCCCAAAGTGTAATATATCACAGAATCACTATTAGACTAACGTTCTCTACTTCAGTTCTACCACATTTACTCGGCAGTGACTGCCACCATGACTTCTTAATAATGCAATTACTGAACACTTTTTTTAAAAAATGACATTTTTCAGTGCAGATTTCTCCCCTCCCCATTATTAATTATGATTAATTATTCTTTTCTCTTCTTTTGCCTTAGGATGAAAGAATGATGTGATGGAGGTGAATATGGGCTGCTGGTCAGGCACAAGACCCCCATTGTCTTGCCTCACCATCCTGCTTGTCAAGCTTTTGGCCTGCGTTTGCCAGGGGCTTCAAGGGACAATACCACTCGGCTTTCACTTTACGCATTCCATTTACAATGCTACAGTGTACGAGAACTCTGCAGCCAGGACCTATGTCAACAGTCCAAGTAGAATGGGTATTACATTGGCAGATCTTTCATGGGATATCAAATACAGGATAGTGTCTGGCGATGATGAAGGCTTTTTCAAAGCAGAAGAAGTCATAATTGCTGACTTCTGCTTTCTCAGAATAAGAACTAAAGGTGGGAATTCTGCTATATTAAACAGAGAAATCCAAGATAACTATTTATTGATAGTAAAAGGGTCTGTCAGAGGAGAGGACTTAGAAGCATGGACAAAAGTGAATATCCAGGTTTTGGATATGAATGATCTAAGACCTTTGTTTTCACCAACCACTTACTCTGTGACGATAGCAGAAAGCACTCCTTTAAGGACTAGTATTGCACAGGTGACAGCAACAGATGCAGATATTGGGTCCAATGGCGAATTCTATTACTACTTCAAAAACAAAGTTGATCTCTTTTCAGTTCACCCAACTAGCGGAGTTATCTCTTTAAGTGGCCGGTTAAACTATGATGAGAAAAACAGATATGACCTTGAAGTTCTGGCTGTGGATCGTGGGATGAAACTTTATGGAAACAATGGAGTAAGCAGCACTGCCAAGCTTTATGTTCATATTGAACGTATAAACGAACATGCCCCAACCATAAGTGTGGTAACCCACATACCCTTTCCATTAGACAAGGAGCCTACGTATGCTGTTATTAACATTGATGACCTAGATGAAGGAGCTAATGGGGAGATTGAATCTGTTTCCATCGTAGCTGGAGATCCCTTAGAACAGTTCTTTCTGGCTAAGGAGGGAAAATGGATTAATGAGTACAAAATCAAAGAGAGAAAACCCATTGACTGGGACAACTTCCCCTATGGTTACAATCTTACTCTCCAAGCAAAGGACAAAGGGTCTCCTCAGAAGTTTTCTGCAGTCAAACTGGTCCACATCACTAGTCCCAAGAGAGAAAGTGTCCCAGTAAAGTTTGAAAAGGAAGTTTATGATGTGTCAATCAGTGAATTTTCCCCTCCTGGAGTAGTGGTAGTTATAGTTAAGTTGGTGCCTGAACCACAGGGTGTGGAATATATAATATCTCCTAATCAGGATGCTGATTATTTTAAGATTAATCCCAGGACAGGTCTTATTATCACCGCTCACCCTTTGAAAATCATTGAGAAGGAACTCTATGAGTTAGAAGTAGTAAACAAAGGTGGTGATTTAAAAGCACAAGTTATTGTCAGGTTAGAAGATGCCAATGATCACACTCCAGAGTTCACACAGCCTTCGTACAGCTCCTTTGTCAATGAAAGTGTTCCTGTAGGAACCAATGTTTTGTCAGTTTCAGCATTTGACAAGGACAGGGGAGAAAATGGATATATAACATACAGCATTGCCAGTCTGAATTCACTGCCCTTTTCTATAAACCAATTTACTGGTGTTATTAGCACCTCTGAAGAACTGGATTTTGAGTCTTCTCCAGAGAGCTACAGGTTCATTGTCAGAGCCTCCGATTGGGGTTCGCCATACCGTCATGAAAGTGAGGTTAATGTCACTATATACATAGGCAATGTCAATGATAACAAGCCGTTGTTTGAGAAAGTGGCTTGTCAGGGAGTGATTTCATCTGACTTTCCCATTGGTGGTCACATCACTGCTGTATCTGCAATAGATATAGATGAGCTAGAACTAGTGAAATACAAAATAATCTCTGGAAATGATCTTGGGATTTTTTATTTAAATCCTGACTCCGGTGTGCTGCAACTTAAAAAGTCCCTTGTTAATTCTGGTATAAAGAACAGCAATTTCGGCCTTAAGATCACAGCTACAGATGGAGAGAATTTTGCTGATGCCATGTTCATTAACATTTCAGTAGTACATGGGAAAGTGTCTTCAAAGACCTTTAGTTGTAGAGAGACTAGAGTTGCTCAGAAGCTGGCAGAGAAATTGCTCAAGAAGGCAAAAGCAAATGTGAAGCTGAATTTGGAAGATGGCTTCCTTGATTTTTATTCGATTAACAGACAAGCTCCACACTTTGATAAATCCTTTCCCTCTGATGTAGCGGTTAGAGAGGACCTTCCAGTTGGTGCTAGCATCCTGAAAATAAAAGCCTATGATGCGGACTCTGGATTCAATGGGAAGGTTGTCTATACAATTTCTGATGGTAATACAGATAGTTGCTTTAACATTGACATGGAAACAGGGCTTCTTAAAGTTCTTATGCCCATGGACCGAGAGAAAACAGAGCTGTATCTCCTTAACATTACAATTTATGATTTAGGTAATCCCCAGAAATCTACATGGAGACTATTGACTGTAACTGTAGAGGATGCAAATGATAACAGTCCTGTTTTTTTACAGGATAGTTACTCAGTTAATATTTTAGAAAGCATGAGTATTGGTACAGAAATGATCCAAGTAGAAGCTAGAGATAAAGACCTAGGATCTAGCGGTGAAGTGACTTACTCAGTATTGACAGACACACAGCAGTTTGCCATCAATAGTTCGACTGGAGTAGTTTATGTGGCTGACCAACTAGACAGGGAATCGAAAGCAAACTATACACTAAAGATAGAGGCCAGGGACAAAGCTGAGATTGGCCATCAGCAATTTTCTGTTGTTCCTCTGAAGGTTTTTTTGGATGATGTGAATGATTGTTCTCCAGCTTTCATTCCATCTAGCTACAGTGTGAAGGTCCTTGAAGATCTGCCAGTTGGCACTGTAATAGCTTGGCTAGAAACTCATGACCCAGATCTTGGTTTGGGAGGTCAAGTGCGTTACTCTTTGGTGAACGATTACAATGGACGATTTGAAATAGACAAAGCTAGCGGCACTATCCGCTTGAACAAAGAACTCGATTACGAGAAACAGCAGTTCTATAACTTGACTGTGCGTGCAAAAGACAAAGGACGTCCAGTTTCCCTCTCTTCCGTTTCTTTTGTAGAGGTTGAAGTGGTGGATGTTAATGAAAATCTCTACACTCCTTATTTCCCTGACTTTGCAGTCATTGGAACTGTAAAGGAAAACTCCCGCACTGGAACAAGTGTATTGCAAGTGACAGCTCGAGATGAAGACTCTGGAAGGGATGGGGAGATCCAGTATTCCATCAGGGATGGCAGTGGCCTTGGAAGATTTAGCATAGATGAAGAAACTGGTAAGTTTAGAATATTACTTAATTTATTTTATTTACTTTAACCTTCATAGAAGTTTTTACAAAAGTAAAGCATGTGGATAATCATTTCACTTCATAATGTAACATAAGTTCAGTTCTTCATAATAGGCAAGATAAAGTTATAAATATAAATGTTTCAGGCATAGATATAACAAGAGTTTATTACTTGGATATATCCATCACGCGGTGGGTGTGAAATAATGCACATTACTTTGCAGTCACCATACAGTTCCACTGAAAAGCATGCAGGGATTCCATTACAGCTACCATATTATCTGTTGATAACTATAAATTACTCAGGTCACTGCTGCAGCCTGTCACTGCACTCTTGACCTTGACTAAAGGTTGAACCCAATAACGTAAATGAGGAGTGTGAAATAGGTTTGGGAATGAAAGAATTCCTGTTTCTCTGGTATTACTCATAATGCTGGCATGCTGTTGTTTTTCATTCGCATTCAGCAGTTTGAAACAATATGTCACGCTGTATCATATGCTTTGCGATAATGCACCATTCAGTTTGTGCTAATATTGATTCTCTTCATAAGAATAAAATTTCAAACATGCACAATAGAAAACAATATTTGAATGCTGATTAAGAAGTTTTTTTTTTAAAGATTTTAACTGCAAAGCCACCAGCATTATAAAACATAAAAATCAAGCAGGAGAAGCTGTGTAGTAAAACACAGTTTAGGAGCTGGCTGTTTAAGTATCTAATAGCTGTTGGCAGTAATGGTGCAGCTGTGATACTAGATTAAGTGTGGAAATTAGAAAACATTAGTTTGCATTTTAAGAAATTACATTAAATACGTTGGGTTTGCTGTGGTTTAAGTCGACCATGTGTTTCTTTTTCTAAAGCTTTTAATTTTGAACGTGGTATTAAAGCATTAGATTAAAAATGTATGTTTTGGCTAATTCAAACTGTTTAATCAAATATCAAAATTCTAAACTGAACGTTATGAAAAACAGATGGTGGGTCTAATATGAAGTAAAAGCATTGAAAACATCTCAAACCTATTTGAGCTACAGTCTATATACTGCAGTTGGGCACAAACAATGTATTTATAGCCGTATGGCCAAAAAATGCAAACTTGGGTGCCCGAAGCAAGATTCAAGGCTGTCATTAAAAGTGGTCTCTTTATAAGTGCTGAGCTCCCCAACTGAAGATAATGGGAGCTGTAGTTGCTCGGGCTACATTGATTTAGGTAAATGATTATAGATTTAGAAACACAGTTTTAGGTGGGCAGGTTTGAAAATGATGGTCTACAATCTTACTGAGTTGCATAGTGTCTCTCTCTCACACAGAGCTCTGTTAGAGCTCCCTCTGACCTGGCACTGGCCATGCTGTTGTGTTAGGCCCTCACCTCACTGGGCCCCATGTGCTTTAACTCTCTTGACTCTGAACAGAGTCCAGACACTGCCCCTGGCTGTGGTCTCTCTGTACACTCTTGGGATGCAGATCCTCTGTTTAGCACTCTCTCCTGATAGCTGAGACCCCACGGTCTAACTGCATAGTCCCTGAGACTCGTGATAACCCCTCCGACTTCCCCTTAGGTTATACACACCTTCTCTCAGAACTCCAGCTGTGTACGTGCTCTCAGTATATAGTTCACCTCTTCAGGGGCAGGTGACAGTAAAAGCTAACAGACACGCAGACCGGCTTTGCACAGGATTCTAAACACAATTTCTCTTTACTTGGATAGCACAAGAAATACACTGATCTAGACAAAATAACCACACCTGTGTGCATTCCCCCATCTCAATTTCCTTACCATTCTAGAGAGGAAACCTCTGCTGTGATGGTCCTTCCATACTCCTTCTCAAGCTTCCTCTACTTGTGGTCTCTTGTCAAAATGACTGTTGAGAGACTCTCTCTTTTATAACTTCTCATCCCCTTTGTCAAGTGACCCCGCTGTTCAACCTGATCAAAGTCCCTCACCAGGTGATCTGATCCCCACCTGGGCAGACTGATTCTTCTGGGTGGCGGCTAACTCTTTGTCCAAGGGTGCTTCTGTTTGAATAAAAACAACGAGGAGTCCTTGTGGCACCTTTGAGACTAAGAAATTTATAAGAGCATAAGCTTTTGTGGGATATAACCCACTTCATCAGATGCATGGAGTGGAAAATACAATAAGCAGGTATAAATATACAGCAATTTGTTAGTCTCTACAGTGCCACAAGAACTCCTCGTTGTTTTTACTGATACAGACTAACCAAGCTACCCCTCTGAAATTTGTTTGAATAGAAGACCATCAAGGCTGAACAACACTCTATTAGTATCTCTTTGCCACTGTCCCTTCAAATTTCAGACCAATATGAAGTTAAAAGAGCAACAGAGAAGGCAGCAAGCTCCACATTCAGAATGGAGTTTGCAGCCTGACGCAGATAAAAAGCCTCCGATATCAAACAGAATTCATACTCTCTGCATAGACAGAGTCCCCAAATCGTCATATTTAGGATTAAACAAAATAAATCCAGCTAAAGGCAATGGAAGTTACTTGGTGAAATTCTGAAAAATTAGGGGTTCATTGAAGACTTTCTTTAACTAGATTATCCAGATTTTTAACCTGTGCCCCAACCAGTTTGAAAGATTTGATCACCTACAATGGATTATGGTCCCAGATCAGCAAAATACAGTGCATACTTAATTAACCATGTGCTTGACTTCAGTGGGACTTAACCATCTACTTCAAATTAAGTGTGTGCTTACATGCTTTCCTGAATTGAAGCCTAAATTAATTAATCTTTTGGATAGATCCTTTTTTAAAAAATAAATAAATACTGGAATAAATACATTTTTCTTTCACATTTGAAAACATATTTTAAAATTGTAATCAAACAAGCCCCTTATCAGTATTTCATTTGACTGTTTTGAAAGATTACCTAGCAGCAAAGCATTTAAAAAAATAATTTTCCTTCAGTTGTCCTTGTGATTACACTGAATATTGATTATTTTAAAAAAATCTTCAATTAATTGAAGAAATCAGGTGCTTTTTGCCACCCAGAAAGGTGACTACAGTTGCGATCGAGGATGTGTGGACAAGAAGTTTTGATGCTTTGGGTGTTATTTTGCACCGTTGTAATCTGAGTGCAAAATTTGATCTGTTTGCCAAATAGGTGAAATCTGTTGAGCTTTGCTGTTGGGCTAGTGAAAGCTTAAAAGCTGTTGAATGATGAATTGGCTTTCTAGATGTAATGAAGAGCTGAAATCACAGACTGAATTAATTTACAAGGAGATTGCTGCTTATTTACTTTTCATGCACTTAATTTGTCACTTTTTAAACTGACCTGCTCTATTGACTTATCCATTGTCTTTCTTGTGAAACTTGTGAAGGAAAGCAGAAGTGAGAAGTACAAAAAAATCAGTATTTTTGGCTACTGCCTTAATGAGAAGAAGATGCCAAATTCAGTCCTTGTGTAAGTGGGTGTAATTCCAACTCTACTCCCTCTTGTCTGTGTCACTCCATGTGCTATCAAAGCTACATCTGAGTTTACATGGTGAAATTCTGGCCCTGCTGAAATCAATGGAAGTTTACTGGGACCAGGATTTTATCCCAGAACTCTTCTCTCTGGCCTGTGTGATGGACAGCTCTGTGGGTACTATTTAATGAATTATAGAATTCAGCACCTCAGAATCTAGTGCAGGGGTAGGCAACCTATGGCACGCATGCCGAAGGCGGCACGTGAGCTGATTTTCAGTGGCACTCACGCTGCTGGGTCCTGGCCACTGATCTGGGGGGCTCTGCATTTTAATTTAATTTTAAATTAAGCTTCTTAAACATTCAAAAAACCTTATTTACTTTACATACAACAATAGTTGAGTTATATATTATAAACTTATAGACAGAGACCTTCTAAAAACGTTAAAATGTATTACTGGCACGCGAAACCTTAAATTAGAGTGAATAAACGAAGACTCAGCACACCACTTCTGAAAGGTTGCTGAACCCTGATCTAGTGAGTCAAATTTATAGCAGCAAACTGTGGCTGTACCTCTGTCTACTAAATGCAAATTGAGGTTGCTTTAACAGAGGCACAGCATGCAAGTCTAGGGAGGTGATAGTACCACTCTATTCAGCACTGGTTAGACCTCAGCTGGAACTGTGTCCAATTTTGGTCACCAACGTATAGAAAGGATGTAGAGAAACTGGAAAGGATCCAGAGGCGAATGACAAAGATGATCAAAGGGACGGAATGCAAGCCATGTGAGCAAAGGCTGAAGGAACTGGGTATGTTTAGTTTGGAAAAGAAGAGATTAAGGGGGGGATATGATAGCATTCTTCAGATACTTGAAAGGCTGCCATAAGAGGATGGAGAAATGTTGTTCTCTTTTGTCACAGAGGGCAGGACAAGAAGCAATGGATTTGAACTACAGCATATCAGATTTAGATTAAATCTCAGGAAAAACTTCCTAACAATAAGAACAGTAGGACAATGGATCAGACTGCCTCGGGAGGTTGTGGAAGCTTCTTCACTGGAGGTTTTCAAAAGGAGTCTGGATATCAACTGACTTGGATGGTTTAGATACAACAAATCCTGTATCTTGGCAGGGGTGAGACTAGATGACCTTTGCGGTCCCTTTAACCCTATGATTCTATGGACAGTTTGTTCATCCCTATGTGCTAACCAGAAAGCTAGTTTACCTCCTTTCTATGTGTACAATTCCAAATCATCTTCGTTGCTTCGCCTATTCTTTGTGCTTCCTTGTTTCTAATTAGCTTGTTTATAGGCCAGTAGTTTGCCATTAAAAAGGCCTCAGTAGTGGACAGCTGATGTGATCCTGGCTGTGACGGAGTCTGGTGTTCTTGTTCTTTTTCCTCAAGCAGCACTGCCTTTTGAAGTGGCTTGGTGTGTCCCTCTCTCTAGTTTTCTTAGGCGTGCCTAGCATTTACACCCTCTGTAAACTAGCTTCTATGCTATGGAGGTGTGTGTGTGTGTGTGTGTGTGTGTGTGTGTAATGCTATGTTACACTCATGTCCTAACCT